TAAATTTGAAAGATGGACATAAAAATATATAATATGTATAAGTACTTCAAAAATTCATCTTAATCGCATATGCATGGTTCATAACATGCTATCAAAACATCATTATCCCAATGGTATGGTATCCCAATGGAGTTCGAATCTCCTTTTTATAAAATCTTATAAAGCTTGCAAATTATTCATACTATGACTAACTTGTATATTCATTTATATCAAAATTCATAATCAGGAAACAATAATAAATAATCTCTTAATGCAATGTGAAATGTGGAGCTATATAAATAAAGCAAAATTATATAATAATAAATATGCATATGACAAATGATGCATTTATCTACTTCCTACACATGCATATGAATGTAAGACTAAAAAATGCAAAACATTGTACAATGTGGATTTTAGAATCCATATATTGTTGGACTTCAGGTCCATGAGCTCATTCTCATAATCATAATTATGTCGACATCAAAATGGACGTATAATTCAGATCCCCTCCTCACATGTCCATTACTTAATGCATATGCACATCTATCGATTCCATCTATACCGGTATCATAAAAAAAAATAAAAAAAAATAATCATGTAACATTTGCATGCTAATGAACAATGATATCTGAATGCATCTTCCAGCATCATACTTTGCTCATATTATAGGCCATCTAATATAATTCAGATATTTATTCCTCTTTTGGGGTATTTTATACAATACTATTTTATCAACCACCATGCTCTTCAAAAGTATCAACTGCACTTTCTTGCCATGCATCATATCTTTATATTGGAACCGATCATATAATCTACACTTTAAATGTAAAGATTCAAGTAAATATTGACAAGATTTATCTCAATGTATATACATAATATCACTATGACCAATATGTAATCTTCTATGCCTCTAAATGGATCATAACTGATTACAAATCAAATCATAGAATTACGCACAACATATCTTGATAATGTATATATAACATGATGGCATATAAACTTTTCCAAATTACCAAAAATGGGGATCAAGAAATAATTCTAAATTTTGCCAAACTTATCCCAGTTCTTTCCCCCCTATGTTGGTGAAATATTTCAAATATAAGTCGGGGCGTTCAATTCTTGGCTAACCTAGAATATACAATTTCATTTGCAATAAATTTAATCCTTTAGGAGAACTAATAATCAACAAAATCTTTATCTTTTCTGGAGAATAATATATAGTTTTCAATTGTAATTAAATTCGATATATTTCTCTTCTGGAGATTATTATCAATGGGGAGTCATAATTGTGTAGTTGTTGATTTCTTATCTCATTTCTTATGTGCTGATATACGATAGCCCCAATCAAAAGATCCTTTCACTAATAAAATAGCATGCATATTATAATATATACCACTATATATGGTGATGTTCAAGACATTTAATTCTTGGCTACTTATAAGCTATCGTAGTGACCTTCTGGTCACCTATTACTTGTTTGCATACAAAGTTATTATTCATTCCAATATTTATCCCTTGATAATTTTCAAATTCAACTATGAACATAATTCAAATACTTTTCAATCCCTATGTTATGTCATGCCGTTCAATTTATTTATACATGTGACATGAAATAAAGTCAGCACATTATTTTCAGTATATCAAATAAAAGTTCAAGTTTCAAAATGGGTACTTTAAACTCGGATGGCCTAACTTATTACATCCAATAATTTTTCAAATTTATCTTCTCATTATTCTAACAAGATAAGTGATCACTTTGTACAAATTGCTCATGCATGGCCATATATTTGATGTGATATAAGAATGTCAACATTCGTTTTCCAGCAATACATACAATCGACTAATTATACTTTATTTGATGATAACTTATTCTAAAATATCAATTACAATCTTGATACATGTCAAATCTATTGGTCAAACACATTTTACTCTTCAGGAGCATCCTATATATAATCTTGGCATATACCAATGGTTACTTGATATGACTATTTTTAACTATACCTTACTAATATAGACAATTATATTTGTTCATATCCATCTTCAAGATGGTGTCATGGTAAATATTAATAATTATATTCCGATCACTGACATTTAAGCTAATGTATATATCAAATAGACCATTAATATAACACAATATTGGTCATGTGCAAGGATTACTTAAAATAAGGTAACCTCTCCCTAAACCTTACATTCAGGGAGCGAAAATTCAACAACCTTTTAAAATGTCTTGCACCATTTAAGTTTTTTAGTATCTTGACAATGTCATGTCATGTATCAAGCAAAGTATTCATATACACAAATTTTAAAACCTATTATAATAAGGTGTACATAAATATGCGTGCTTAGATATAATAATTCAAATAAACTTTTAATCATATTCCTCGTACTCAATTGTATCAATCATCGAATTACAATCACTTATAAGCATGGGTATAACAAATAGGTTAATCAAGTTAATTTGCTATAGAGTCATATATAGACTGGACTCTCAAAGTTAGTTTCTTAAAATCATAAAGCAATATTTCATCAATTAGCATTTGAATTGTTCATGATAACCTTCACATGAATTGAATTAAGAAATATCATGCAACTATTCTTGTAATCATTTCCATCAAATAATCTCACATCACTTCTGGAAATGAGTATATCTAATTGGTTGTAACTCAACATTCTTTTTACTCATACTTCACTTTTGTTCATTCATTAATAATAGATAACATATCAATTATCCAAAATAATAAGCTATCTTAAAACTATTTTATTAATACTATGTCTACAAGATCATAGCAATTCATTCCACAAAAGTAGAGCACATTATTGTCAATAAATTTTAGAAACTATTTTAATATTCTTAGTCATTTCTAGCTTTCTTGTACTACTCCATAGGGAATTGCATGATATTTCCTTTGTAATTGCATAATATTGCATAATTCAATAGCACTATTTGGTACTTCACTATACACTGCTCAATGAAACAATCTTCTACCCAACGAGGTATGCATATGATATATAAAATCATGAAATCATTTTGATATAATTAGAGGTAGGCTCCTAAAGTTAAATTTGTAGCACAATATATATATGACATACAACATTTATTTCTAGTGAACTAATATGAAAAACCAAACATGAAATATATATGCTTCAAACAAGTAGGAGTAACTTATAAAAATAATTATGCGACTCATATTAGTTAATCTAACTGCTATACGAAGTACATGATCATAATAACAATCAAATATAATAAGTACTCTACTTTTTAATCGAGAGTCACGCTTTCGAGGAATAATATTGAAAACATATATATCTTCCCATTACCTCAATAAATCATGAAATTTTCTTATATGTGTCAAAATTAAATCAAACAAGAAAGCTTATAATTAACTAAAAATACCTTATAATCTTCCATTCAAATATAACTTGCCGCTAATATCAATGAAAAAAAATTTAAAACCGAAATATGGCAACTTAAATTAATAAACAATAAAAGTAAAAATTGTAGGAGTGAGATTTGATTTATGGAACATAACTTACCATGTTTAGGATTCAAGGATAAATTGCAATAAATCAAGACTTAAAACATAGTAAAAATACACGTAAGACATATAGTAAAATTGTTGTTATGCCATATTGAAGTTCAAAGAATCTGTACATATAACAAGTCAAGCAAATTCAATTGTAAATCAAAGACAATTTATTTCTAATGCTTTTATTAACACCATCTACCTTAGGAATATATAGTGCAAACTTTTCTTATCTTATGAATTCACGGTCTCTAAACTATTGACGATGGTGCAAACACAATATTGATGAATAAGATTAAACTATATCATGTTAAAATAATAACATAATCTACACTAGTTGGGTTAAAATTTATACACACAGTAAGAGTCATAAAATATATATATATATATATATATATATATATATATATATTATATATATATATATATATAATACTATCCCAAAAAAAAGGGTAATCTTTAATCAATTGTTTCATCATGAGATTATAGGATAAAGAAAACCTCACATGAAAAAAAAAAATTATAATTACGTAGTACATACAATAATTTTACAAATCAAACTAAAAATAACGGTAAGATCCAAGCCATGTGATAAAGTGCAATTGAAGAAAGGATGCAGTCATATTTCATGATTTAATCAAACTAAAATAATTGCCATATCGAATAGAAATTGAGCCAATAACATTATTCTTGCCACTCATCGTAGATATATTTACCCACCTTCAATTTTATACAATAATATATAACTTGACAATAGAACAGACATACATACCTCTATTGATTTGTTGCGATCATCATCATCGATTGATTTAATACGGTTGCTATCATAATTTTTCTTTTAAATCGTATTTATAGAGTAATGGTGTTGATAACGTGTTATACAATAAAGAGAAAGGAAGAATAGTAGAATACAAGAGGGAGATATAGGTGTTAATCTTAGTTCATTTCTTCATTAGGCAATGCCTATATATATACATGAGGATATAGTAACCCTCCAAAAGCAATGAAGAGTCATACTAAGCAAGAGTCACAAAGGAAAACAATAAGCTAAAGGAAAAGGAGTTACAAGAGGTTACTTAGGGAAGTAATAATGTCGGGGGGTTACAATGGTATACATAATGGACATACATTATTATATTTCATAACAATATTTTTGTTTTGTAATTATTGTTTAAAAAACATGTCACTTAATCTCTAAGTTCATAGTTTTTTTTTGATGAAATCTTTAAGTTCATAGTTTCTTACTATTGAAGAAGTGCTATATCAAATCCATTATTTTTTCTATTTGTTTGCTCACTAAAGGACAAGCAGAGCAACGAAGCTCATACTCAAGCGAGCCATATCTGGAATGGGTCAATAAAAATTCATGTCATGTCAAGCTCATTTCGTTCATTAAAAGCAAAGCTCATGCCTTGCTGTAAGCGTCAATTGAAGTGCGCCTAATTAAGCATGTGTGAAAATATTTGACAATCGTAGGAAGTGGGAGCTAACATATACAATAGGGACAAGGGATAAAGTAGGGAGCCGCCAACAAAATTTTAAGCAACTTGTGATCCGTTCATGAAGTTTACCGAAAGAAACAAATGCAAACACGAAATTTGATCCATGAAAATTACACTTCATTCCTAATCCATGAGATTACTGAATCCATATGATCACGAACCACGACTGAAGGATTGGGGATGAAGGTATGATATTACTAACTATTGATTTTTTTTTACCTTATGATCCCACTTGGCTCCTAAATATACAACTTTATGTAATAATATACACAGGGCTAGCTATCAAAAAAAATCATTAAATATTTAAGAAAAGAAGAATGTAAAACAAATATTACAATAAAATGAAGTAATTAAGTAAACAATAATACAAATCACACTGTAGTTTATACTGAAAGTCTGGCTGCTATTAAGATCAACAATTTATCATCATCCTTTAATCAACATGAAATAAATAAAAGCAATACGTACGGATAATAAATTATATAAACATAAGGGGACATCAACTGCATTTGTTGGTAAATACGTGGAGGGTCGTAGCCAAGATCTAGGATTGTATATCGTCTATATCAACTGTCCTTTGGCCATTTTGGAACTATTCACAACAAGCCATTATTAAAAAAAAGAAAAAAAAAATACAATGTACGAGTTATACATAATAAGAGTTTTAATTTGTAGTCGTTTATGATATCATTCGAACTTGCCGAGCCTTCAAAGTTTTGCGGAGAGAATATTTTCTTTGAGAAATTGCTTTCTTATACCTGTGAAATGAGTGTTCATTAAATAATCTTCCAAAATTATGCGTTTCACATCGAAGTCGAAGATTTTCTTCTCTACCGATGACATTTTTTCCATCAAAATTTGTGTTTTCTTGTCGTTCACCCTGGCCACAAGAAAATCATCATCTTAAATTAAACCATTTATAAAACTTAGGAAATTTTGAAAAAAAAAAAAAAAAAATATCACGAAATTGGTTTTTTACCACCAAAACTTCTTAAAGTTTTATTTTACCACCTTGACGGTAGATGGTGAAAAACAATTTTTATAATTTTTTTTTTCTTTTTTTGTGGTAAAATAAAACATTGAGAAATTTTAGTGGTAAAAAAACAGTTTCTTGATTTTTTTTTTGTGGTAAAAGTGAAAAGGACCTAAAACTTATGATATATTTTGTTGCATCTTCAACGAAAATGATCAATATATTTAAACATATTTCAATTGATGACATACCACGTACATGAGGAGTAATGAATTATTAAAGATAATATGGTTTTTTTATAATTTTTTTTTTATCAAAGTTTTCAAGACATAACTTTAACAATTCCCGTAAAAAAATTAAAATATATATATATATATATATATATATATATATATATATATATATATATATATATATATATATAACTTTAACAATAAAAAAATTTATAAACTTACCAATTTACCATCATAATAGATAATCTGCACGGTAAAAGTGAAAATATTTGTGCACTTGCGCACACAAACTCAAATGATATACTAGTATGTCATCCTCTTACAACAATTCTTGATCTTTCCTTAATTTAAGCATTTGAGAAATTCACTCATTTTATCAATTGTTGGTCTCTAAATTAAACCCTTCTCCCTTCTTACAATTTTTGTACAAACAGCTCGTTCATCTAACTAATTACCAAATAATTTTTCGTATATGCTTGTAATTCTATGTTCATAAACTCTAAAGATTAATGTCATAATGTAGGAACGAAACAAGTTCACACTATGTTATGAATGTAACAAAATCAAGAAACTAGAGAATATATAGAAAGTTTAATTAAGAAGACAACTTAAGTTGATAGAATTTACCGTAATTTGCTGAATAATACAGGCTGGTAAATAGCTGCCATGCGAACAAGAATGCGATGCAGCTTATCGTTTGAAGAACTAGAACCCATTCCAAAGAATATATATTCATCAATCGATGAGAAGAATTCTATGTCTTTCACTTTGATAAATTCTCTACTCGGTGTTATGAATGGATGCAACGCAAAATAATTGTTACATAATTTAATGAGTTTACCGCATGTTAGTGGATTCACCATAGACGATGTGACATGGTAAATCTCTAATTCGGGTTCTCCGATTATCCCATGGTTTGCGATGGCTGCTATCATGGCATTTACGACCATGTCAACTGGAACCTAATTACATATAATTACAGTACTTCAAGTTAGTTTCCATGAAAAAAATAAAAAATTACTTGGAGTTAATGTAATATGTTGGTGTTAATATTAAGTATGGCACTGTGTACAAGATACTATAAAAGAAAACGGATGAAGTATAAGATACATACAATGTCTACTATCGCGGTTGGGTCTGCTAAAATTCCTTGAAGTTGTCCTTTACCATAAGATACGATTATTGGTTCTATTCCCCTGTATCCTTCTATCCATCCGGGGAATGGATCACTATAAATGCTTTCAACTAAAGTTGGACGGATGATGATCACTGGCAGTTTATCACTTACTTTGGTTAGTAACATCTCTCCCATGGCCTTTGTTAGTTGGTAAGTGTTTGTCCATCCATGAAATTTTGCCCTAAAAATTCACATGTTGATTAATCATCATAAAAGAAATGAGTCAATTGTACAGCAAGTAGTCTAGTAGCCCGCATCAACGAGCTGAGTAACTATTAGGGTTTGTTAACATGTTTTATATTATTTTTACTAAACTGAAATATTTATTATTGAAATGAACATTATTTTGCTGAACTGAAATTATTTTTACTGATTTTGTAATATATTTCTTCTTTTAAGTTACTGACTTTTACTGAACTAAAATTATTTTTACTGAAATGAAATTATTTTTACTGGTTTTGAAAAAAAAAAATTACTGAACTAAACTTATCTTTACTGAACTGAAATCATTTTTACTAAATATTATTTTTTAAGGTGAAGTGAACAGAGCCTTCATACTCAAGTAATTTACAATAAGTTCAGGTAAAATATTTTTTGTTAAGAAACTTTGGAAATATTTTTTGTTAAGAAACTTTGGAAAAAAAAAAAGAAAAAAAAAAGAGTATATAAGCTTTATTTTCAGATTAGTGTTTGCGAATGAATCCACTTCCTTCCCTTAAAATTAAAGCATTACAATATGAGACCAAAAACCATTGTGTATTTGTGTGTTATATATAAATTAGTATTAATTCACATTTCATTCTTACCTTCTCAAACCTAGCTTTGCCATCTCTGCTGATAATTCATTTTTAGGAATTTCAGAAGCAATCTTTGCAGCCAACTTGAATTCAGCTTCGATGTCTAGTGTTTGTGAATTCCAGTTTTGACCCTCCGGTAGGCCTTCTTCCACGCCTATGGGCGTTTCCATAAAAACTCCTACTGTTTTCTTGGTGACAAAAGCTATATATGGAAGCAAACAATTTCAACAAATATTTAGTGTTAGGTTAATTATGATCCTGTAAAATATTACATACAGTACGTAAATAATATGTCCTCTTTTCTTTTTCATTTTGTTAAGTAAATGCAATAATTATTAGACTTTTAAACTATACACACACTAATTTTTGAAAAACTTTTGAGATTTTTCGCCAATGGAAAATATAGTCATCCAGCTAGGTGTAATCTTATTATGATTGGCTTGATATATATGGAATACTTTCAAAATAATATTTTTTTTTTTTAATAATTTTCCTTAGTTTATAGTTTAAAAAGCCAAAGGTTTGCAATAAAAACTATGAAATTTTAAATGTTGTTGCACTCGTTAAAAAACAGAGGAATTGAAATAGAAAACTATTCACATACATAGGATCAAACAACCAATATGCACCTTTAATTTAGATTATCACAATCGAATGACTCACATGTTTTTCGTCTTATTTATTGATATTTTTTGTAATTTTGCAACTTCATAAACTACAACCTTTCTTTTTGAAAAACTCATAAACTAGAACTTATAAATTATTGAAGTTTGTAAATATTTTGTATCATGTATTTTCCATACCAGTCGAAACGTGTAAGAAAAGGGAGCGTTTCTTGCAACTCTTTTTGAAGCCAATAAGTCCTGAAATTCCTTGCACATTTACATCGAGTAGTGTATCATACCTGCAGTAAATTAAAGGAGTCAAGGAGAATAGAGAATGTTAAACCCATTATACAGATTAATATGACACGGAGTAACTATTAATCAATTATACCCTATCATATTATATCATATCATAAATTCATAATAAGGTTGGGTTTTGTAATTAGCCATGAAAAGTATCATATTGCAATTATGTAAAGAACAAAACCCTTTCAATTTCCCTAATTACCCAAACAATTCTATAAAGCGACTTTATAATATGTTTCATCTATCTCAAAATATAGTTTCTTAACTTTAAATTTTGATATTATTATTCATATAATAATTGTGTTGTGATGTAAAAATTTTTGATGAAATATTTTTAATGCATGTATAATTTTTTAAAATAATTTATATCAATATAAGAAACTAAGAGAAAAATAAACCTTCCTTGCCATCCGGTGCTGCCAGCCGCATTTATAATCACGTCAACTTTATTTGCAATGTCGACAGCCACGTTGGCATCCATACCAAGACAAGGTTCACTAAGATTTTCAATAACTGGAATAAGTTTGTTCTTCATGAACTCCTCGTATTTTTCTCCATGCACTTCTTTCAACCGCTTGAATAGATCAGTATCTATGATCTAATAACCACATTCAATAACAATTTATAAGATTTTGAGGAAAACAAAATATTAAAATACTACTTTTATGTTTTTATAATAAGCACACTGTAAATCTTGAATATTTTTCTGATGTATAAGCAACAAATGTTAGGTATGTATATGTTATATGCATGCAACCAATAATTATACTTGTAGATGGAATTCATATCATTCTCATGTCTTGAGTTTTGTTACACACCCTCAAATTGAAATAATTTCTTATTTAAGTTATTAGCCTATTATAATTTATAATGGTAAGTAATTCAAATAAACTTGCTACTCTCCCATTCCAAAATAAACTTTCACTAAGCTATGTGATGGTTTTCAAGCAAACAGTGCAGAAATCAACAAATCAATGGAAAAGCATACTTGTATACAGTTAATTTCACCAAATTTTAACTTAGAAAAAAACCCTTATTTCAATGATGCTAACAGATCAAAATATAGTGTTGACTAATTATATGAAATCACAATTACCTGATGAAAAAAACCTAACTAAATTAAATTTGCTGCTTAGTAAGTATGTAAGGATTAATCCGTGTTCTTCATTACCAAATTAAAGTTGTTTAAATTAATTAGCAGAAGCATGGTAAGTTTCGTATCGATGCCAATTTTCAATTTATCAACTTCTTATATAATACCTCTATTTCTTATTATTTGCAACAAAGAAATATTATTTGTGAGATATAATAAAATATTCCTTTGTTGCAAATAATAAGAAACGAATGTAGTATATCTATTAATGGTCAAAAATTCGAAATCATGTTTTGAACATCGTATAAAAGTATATGTTAGGGTTTCAACGGAAAGGAGTTAGAACTAAGAAATGCAATTAAGACTATGTTTATTTCACCTAATTTCGGGACCTTATTACGTATTTCAGATCAAATTAGAAAAACTAATAAGATCGGAACGTAACATTTATATTGTTTTATTTGTGATTTTTTTTATTACTAAATATCATTTATTTTGTAATGAAAATAATTATGAAAAATATATATTAATAAAATACACATTAATACAAATCTTATAAGACACCATTTGGTATATTTTTCTTTATAATTGGCGTACTTATAAGATCAAAGTTTAGACAAATCGTGACAATTGGATAAGATCATCAAATAAAAATTAAAAAAAAAAAAAGTTCATATCAGATAAGAAAAAATAAGGTGAACTAAATATAGCCTAATATAAGTACATATACTTACTTCCTTTCTTAGTCTTTCCCGAGCAGCTTCTGCATTTTTGGCCCTCATCAAGAGATAGACCTTCTGCACCTCTGGAACTTCCCGCAATAACTTCTCTACAAAAACTGTTGCATGCCACACATCACACATAATTTAGAGATTTGAAGTCGATCTCAAATATCTATTGTCATATACAATCGGAATGAGATTTGATCTCATACATGTTTTTGATGGCACAAGAGTTTAAGCAATTAAGCTAAGATCTTCTTGGAAAATTGGTTCTATTTGAAAATCAACAAGGGTCACTGAAAAATAATGTATGTTTTGAAAAAAAAAAAAAAAAAAAAAAAAAAAAAAAAAAAAAAAAAAAAACATAGAAATAATGTAGACTCCATTTAAAAGAATTAGTACAATGGTGAAGGTAGCACCCATGCATGGCTCTGCATGTTATATATTAATGCATGTCTACGTAGATATGAATCCTACTTGTTTTATTTGTCATGTATCGATTAAATTGCATTATTCACACGACTATTAATTTTGAACAAAGAAAATTAATTAGAGAAATTCATGGCACTAGAAAATCATTACCTTTTGCTATAAACCCAGTGGAACCTGTAATGAAGAAATTTTTGTGCTTGAGGAAATTGACGATACCAATACCATGAACATATGGGTGGTTTGACATGGTGTACTGTGGATCGACTCGATCGAGAACTAAGGAAAAAATTTTGAAGATGAAGAGAAGCAAGCTAAGAGTAACCTTAATTAGATACTAGAAACAATTGATATAACGTGACTGAGCTGGTGAAGTTGGCTTTATGAAGAAAATTAAGGTTGACAGAGAATATTAGGTTGATATTAATTATAGTACACATGATTATTCCTGCTTGGCTAATGGAGTATTTATAATATTGTGTACTTGTTTACACATACATTAATTATATAATTTATGTTTTAATGGCCGAATTTTCAGATTGATATAATATTATGGATTATTAATTAATGTATCATGTACGATCACTTCGTTTAAATTCCACAAGTAATCAATTCGATCAGCCAAATCAAACTCATAATTAGTTGTTTATATGTCTAAGGAGTGTTTTTTTCTCTATTCAAGTCTTCAACATGGGCAACAATGAAAGTTATTGAGTTAACAAAATAAAATAAAAAAAAATTAAAAATTAAAAATTAAAAAAAAATATTGCGAGTATATCATTAAATAGTGAATACAATTCACGTTGTAACTTGTAAGTGATATGGAGTAATACCAAGCAAGATGTTGGGGCAGCCCGCAGCCAAATAAGTTTCAATGCGAATCGATCTATACTACTCCCTCCATCCCATAATACACGAGACGTTGGACTTTTTTCACTATTTATGCATTTGCTTGGACCATAATTTTTTACTAACATAATAAAAACATATTTTATTTTATCATAAAATATGTTGTTAGATAGGTATTAATATAAAGTTTCATAAAAATATTTTTTATTAATATTTAATTATATAAAAATAAAGTCAAACTAGTGTATTGACATGTGTGCAATGTTGACTGTGTCATGTATTATGGGACAAAGGGAGTACATTACTACCCATACATTGTGCAACGTGCCATGTGCCACTATTTCTTATTGCATTCGTCACGTGTCACTCTCCTCTATTAGTTTCTTATTACATGCATGTTATCATTATGAAATAAAAAAATTATCAACAAGATTCGAACATGCAATCACTACCTCTAAAACTAAGTGTCTTACCACCAAACTATGCTATTTTAAGTTTTTTATTGAATACAAAATATTAATATGAAATAGATGAAAATATGAAAAACAAATTTAATTATTAATTTAAATGTATACTAGTGATCAACCACATGCATCTGACCTGCGAATTACCAGAGCCAAAACACTAGTTTTAATTGAAAAATAATCAGAAGAACTAAAATTAGTACGGAGTACAACTTTAAATAAGGTAAAGAAAACAAGCCTAACTCCAAACTTATTGAATGCAAAAATGTACGAAATTTTGTTGTCAATAAAAGGTCGATTTTGCTAAATAATTTGCAATAACCCTCGAACCCTTCTCTCTCCATCCTTAAAGTCAGGTTGCTCCATCACCGTATTACCCGGCCTAATGAAGCCACCATTATTGAACTGGAATTTTGAAATGAAAAGCAACATCAAAATTCTGCTGGAAATCGATAACTATAAGCATTGACAAAATCTTTTAGAAGATATTCGTGATGGATTGCAAATTTGCAATTCATGTATTCATTGAGTCAACCATCAAACCATCCCATTCCTTTATGGTTAAGGGTATATTTGATTGATATTTTTCTTATTTTAGTGTAGATATTATTGTTATTTCGATCTGTATAAGTTTTAGTTTTAATCAAAAGACTGTTGACCTCGTTATATTTTACTTCCTTTCTGCTTTTTGTCTTATTTTTTTTTAATAATGTATATATGAACCGATCCTAAGCTATTATTGTTAACTATAATATACCCTTAATGAAATGCAACATCAAAATTCTGCTGGAAATCGATAACTATAAGCATTGACAAAACCTTTAAGAAGATATTCGTGATGCAAATTTGCAATTCATGTATTCACTGAGTCAACCATCAAACCATCCCATTCCTTTATGGTTAAGGGTATATTTGATTGATATTATTCTTATTTTAGTATAGTTTCAATCATTGATCACACATATATTTTTTGATAAATATTCCTATAATACTAAGGCAATAATATCATTGTATATATACTAAAGAAAATTATTGAATAATATTGTAGTTGATATTTTCTTTCAAAAAAAAAAAAATATTGTATACGATATTAAATTGAAGATACCCCCTCTGTTTTTTAAATAAATATTCATACGTAACTTTATACTCCCTCCATTTTATAATAATTGCAACACTTTGACTGGCACACATACCGATGCATGACTTTAACCATCAATATTTGTAATTATATATTATTAAGAATTATAAAATCTAAGCTTGATCTAATGAAAATACACATAAAGATTAATCCAAAAATATATAGCATGGCAATATGTGTTTTTTACAAATTGATAAAAAAAATAGAGTCAAGGTAAACATGAATAGTACAAAAGTCAAAGTGTTGTGATTATTACGAAACGGAGGGAGTACCACGTTAACTTTTATTTATATTGGTGTAAGTTTTGATCATTTTAGGATAAAAATGTACAAAATGGACATTTGTAAACTCGATATTTTTAAAACTATGACAACATTATGAGACAAAGAGAGTTTGTTTTATTAGAAAGTTCATACGTGGCTGGCCAGGGGTTACTCGGTCATGGGATACTCGATCGATTAGGGGTTATTCAGTCAGGGGTTACTAGGTTGGTCATGGGTTACTCGGTCGGTCAGGGGTCAACCGGTTAGTGTTTTGGTGTGTGTCAGTCGACCACACTGTGTGTAATACCCGTATTTTTATATGTATATTAATTTGAAATATTATTATATGACGTATTTAAATAATTTAAAATGAATTATTTATGGTATTTTTAATAATTTAAAAGGTTTATTTTAATAAAAAAAAACCCATTTCTATTTATTTATTTGATTTTGGAAATATTTTATTTCATTATTTAGAAACTATGGGGCATATTTAATTTATAAAAGAATTTTTAAAGTCAATGGAATTTTAAAGAAAGTTAAATACCAACTTGAATAAGAATGAGAATCATTAAGGGTAAAAAGGGAAATTAAGTTAGGAGGGTATGAGTGAAGAGCGAATCTTGTTTAGTTCCTATAAGGATATGATGTGTTTATTTGCTTTGATTATTATATATATTTGCTTGTAAGACTAACGCAATGGTTTTAAGTATTTGTTTGGTTTTTAAAAGGGCCTACAATGGTTCCAAGTTGTAGGTTGACTTCACTTGACTTTACTTTCGTTTGGTTGACTTTTGAAGTTGGATTCATTTTGAACGGTTTTTAAAACAAGTCTTTCGTTGTGTGTCTTTGATAATTGCCTTAGCCGTTATCACGTTGGCGGTAATGTCTTAGATTTTTCTAATTCGTATTTTAAAAAGGGTAAAACAGGTGATTTAAAGGAAAGTAATTTCTAGATGTTACGATGTGGAAAGGAATTATTCATGTTCTTGTACGCATTAAGTATTTAGGTTGTGATATTTGATCATGTGAATTGAATGATGTGGAAGCATGTAATTATGTGATTAGAAATAAGCAAGATTGTTTGATTGAACGTTGAACCTAAATTCATGCAAGAATTGTGTTATTTTATTTTTCTTTGGGAAGGGACTTCTTTTCTAAACCTTTTCCTTTACAGGATGCCGATCTTTCCACAAAAACTCATAAATTGGAACACTAATTAAAAAAGACTATGAACATCCCATTGACTATGTCAAGAAAATCCGCTTTTATTGTTCACATCTGAGTCATATCCTAGAAGACAAGTAGTATGATCTTCTTGATCGTGTTTCAACCATGATAGTTCACTGTCTTCCTAATGAACCCCCATATCTTGCTATCAAGACAAAGTTTTTTTATTTCTACTTGTCTGGGGACATTCCCAATTACTCCAAATATAAAGACTATTATGGACAGTGGTACCCTGACTACAGTTACTTGATTTCTTACCTCGTTCGAGTTGAGAAATATAACTGCGAACGCTTACAGATTCCATATCCAAATTATTATTATGATAATCCAGCAGGGAATAATTCCCCTTCTACAAGCAGCCAATTAGGAAACACTTCCCCATCACAGGGAAATTAACCAAGAGCAAATGAAGGGCAAGAGGGAGGAGAACTAATGAAGGAAAGTAACCATACTGTTGACAGTTCCATTATGGAAATCTCAAATCCAAATCCACCCCCAACCCTAATCATTATTTACATTTCATCTGATGATGAGGAAGATGAAGAGTTTATCCAAGTAGAGCAAAATCCAGAGATACCTGAACCTATGGAGGAGGAGAATGACCTTGAATTCGATCCTAGAAGCTACAAACAATCAAAGGACAAGAGGGATGATATTTGAAAGGACTAGATTTTGTACTTTCGCTTCTTTATAGGATTTCTAGTTTATTTTCCGCAGTCATAGTTATTTCTTTTCTAGTACAGTAATAAGTGGTATGGCCATAGTGGTTCAATAAATCTATTGATTTGCGTAGGTTATTCGAATTCATTTTATTTTCCAGTCATTCCTTTATTCGGAAATAAAATTTATATTAATTTCCTTGCCAAATGATCCATTTCAATGCCAAATAGTTCATTTTGTTATCAAATAATTCATTTCATATCACTACTCCAATGAGCCATTTCTTACTCAAATGTTCCAATAAATCATTTCCAAACTTTGGGAAACTATGGTGATTAGGGGATTTCTCCCCCGCCACGTGGACCAATTATATCCTGCCACGTGTCATCCACATGGACTAATTAGAGTCCGCCACGTGTCACCTCGTGAAAGGTCCAAGGTG